CCCGCCAAAAAATTGGCATATACATCCGTACGCGGCACCCAGGCGTCCAAAGGGGATGAAATTAGAAGGTCGCGCATGGTATAGGCACATGTCCCCAAAGTTTCAGCCTTCCAGCTTTTCGGGGTCTCGAGTTGAAAGTGGGTGACGAAAAGTGCGAACACAAGACACACATACGCACGCACACACGCACACACACACACATACACACACAGCCTCTTCCCAATACGCGCTTTTGTAATTTACATATATGCAAAAATGCATAAAAAGCGGTAATCATGCACATGGATGTCCGGCGGCTCTATAATGCACCACCTTCGTCCCAACTGATGCCCTTCCTCCTGTATGCCAGAAAGGATCAAAGCACGGCCAATATTAGTCCAAGTGTTAGGCTGCAGTGTAGGGATCATTCCTGCTAATAGCGATCTGCGAGTTTAGTGCAAAAAAGCATGATCGCACCGGAGTGCCTGGTGAGTTCCAGCTCGGGTTAATTTCTATCGTACTGGTTTGTCTAGAATCCAAAAATCTGCATCAGCTTACTTCTAAACAATCCTTAGAGAGAAGAACTCTCTACAACTCTATTAGCTTGTGGTTCGGGTAGTATCTCCATCAGTCATAAGGGCGCACTGTTAAAGGCAAGTTTGATTTTTGACCTTCCAGCGCGTTAAAATTTTTATTGCGCATCTGTTGCAATTAAGGCTGGTGCCGTAATAAAAAATATATCGCTCGAGTGCCAAATGGTTATATGTGTACAGTATGCCATAAAATATACGGTCGTTACAATTCGGTATCATACCATGTCACCATTTATCACCGTAATCCGCCAATTCGTTGTGACGAAGAAGGCTGCCAGTTCAGCACACGCGAAGCCCGTTACATACATTTCCATAAATTTTATCGACATCGAATACCGCTACCAGAAAGTATTGATTTGGGTAAGGCTGATTTGACGACACAAGATCGCTTATTTTTTGATACTGAGAATGCAGGGCGTTTGAGACGTTGTCGTGTTTAGCATCACCAGAATTGACGAGACAGAGGAAATTGGTGAATAGCAGTTCCATTCCGACCGTAGCAGTATCAGAGCTTTGATGTGCTAAGCAGCCTTGCTTCGGCATATACTCGCCATAGTGAAGACTGCATTAGCCTTCAAGCCGCTTTGTATTTCGACCTACAAAGCTATGACCCTAGTTCAGACAAATTTATTATCGTGAGCAGTTGAATCAATTCATAATCTGGTTCGCCACCTATGCAGCCAACTGTCTAGCTGCTCTGATCACTGCCAGATCGGTTAACGATCCATCTGTCGGCGATCCTGACAGACACCCTGCCTCCTGATTTCATCGTGTTAAATGGAATGGAACTAAAAAAGGCCTGATACTAATTAAAAAACGTGCATTTTGCAGAGATTAATCTCATTTCTACTTTTCAGTTTTAATCAAATCTAGTTTGCTGTTTTTTGATACATCTAAAAAGAGGCTTAAACGCAGCATTCGGACAGATACAATTTGAATAAATTTTAGGTTGCCGAAAGTGTCTCTTCTGTCGGCATATCTCCAAGAGCCCAGCAATGCTGGAAAAACATATTAGTCGGCACTTACAAGAGTGGGCCAAAACTGAAAAAGAATACCGCTGCCCTCAGTGCGATCAACAAAGCATTTCACAGAAAGAGATGCTTGATCACATGATGGTACACATCGAGCAAGATTCTGGATTCCCATGCGAATATTGCAGCTATCGGTGAGCAAAGCTTCCACTGCCTGTTACGAAATAATCAATGCATCCGTTAGCAGCATATTTTTTTGAAATTGTGGAACCTAAGAAGATCATTTCTGGTGGAT